TGGGCGCCGCTTCAGTTGGCCATTTCCTTAGTGCACCCTTCTCCCTCCCATGTAGGGAGAGCCTTTGAAAGTCCCGGGGCCTGGGCAGCAGAGTCCTGCCTGCACCCCATCCCCAGCTCCTCAGCCAGGGCTCCTCTGCCGGGGCGCTCCGAGGAGCAGGCTTGGAATGGAAGGCGCCCACAAACACCCTCGTTCTCTCAGGCCCCAATTCGGGTGCCTAGGCCTGTATGTGACTTCTGGGGAGAGGGTCCCCGGCTTTCAGCAGAACCCTAAGAGAGTCTGTGAATCTTCTCCAAAGTCCACATCTGGACTCTCCGCCACCCCCCCACGCTTCCTTCACCTTGAACAGCCGATCTCACTCACTTATAAATAGAAACCCTCTCTGGACATGTATCCAGAGTGACAGGACGGGCCCGTGACAGTCGGAGCAGCGAGCAGGGTCATTGCCTGCCCTGTCCTCTCCTGGCCTGAAAGGCCACCGTCTCTGGACCCTCCCTCGCTCCCCTCTGTTGCCCAGGAGACTACTGGGCCGCATGCCCTTCCCCTACTCTCACTGTCTCTTTTCTGGACTATGAGGCCAGCCCCTGCCCAGAGCAACCCACAGCCCAGAAGGGGATGATGAGGAAGCTCCTGTGTCTGAGACCTCCGCCTGGCACCCCCCTCCGCGCCCGCCTCCTGGAGCGGCCTTGCCCCAGCACAGACCCAGGCAGAGACAGGTCCCGGGAGACAAACTCTCTTCTGAGCTCCAGCCACCTGCTGGGTAGAGATCAGGGTGTCCGATGGGGACCTCCTATGCATCGTCCTCCAGCCCAAATCTGCTCAAGCGCCAGTGCACCGTGCCAAGCAGCAATCTGGATGCTGTCCACGCTGCCTCCTCTCCCAAATATCCGACCGGTGCCGAGTCCTGCAGATGCAGCCACCCGCCAGCTCTCCTAGCCCTGTCCTCCCAGCTCCAGGGAGAGATGTATGAACCGCCCGGACCACGGCAGCAGCCCTCTTGTCAGCCTCCCTGCCTCCTGTCTCCCCTCCCTCCTGTCCCCACAAAGCTTCCATGAACACAAACCTGCTCACATTACTGACCTGCCTCAAACCTTTGTTGGAAACCTATCACCTTCAGAATAAATCCCAAGCTCCCTCTCTGCCTCTCAGGACCTGGCCTTTAATTTTTTCCAAACCCATCTCGTATCATTTGCCCATCTCAGTCCCTACCCAGTGCTTTGAACTCCTTCCTTATAAGACACTCCATTTTGGTGCCTGGTATCTCCGGCCCTTGGCCACACTGTGCCCTCCCCTCCCCCTTCACCACCACGTCCCACTCTTTCTTCAAACTCAGCTCCAAGGTCATGTCCTACATGGAGCCGTCCCTGAATCCTTTTCCCAGTCTGGGTCACGGGTCGCGCCTCTGTGCCTCCCTCTCCGAGCTCGTGCTAATCAAGCAAATGTGACTGTTTACTCGTTGGTGACCTCTTTGAGAGGAAGGCTGAAGTGCCGGTGGTGTGCTGGAGCCACCTCCCACCAGCTCAGGAGAACCAGCTCCAAACTCAGTGACATCACAATGGCAGCTTAAAATTGGCCTCGGTGGGAGCATTTACACCATGGCAATTGGCACATGCTACAGCACTGTAAATCAGAACTTCTTTTTCTTTCTCTATTTTAAGGGCTGATGGTTAAACATTTACCAGTTGGCCGCTGCTTAGGCCCAACTTTGACACACAAAACATGTGTGTGCAATGGATGGATGCATGGGAAATTCACCTTGCTCCACGTACTGCCCCCTAGTGGATGGGGCACCCATACACTCACTCCCCATCTCCTCAGTGTCCTGTCCTTCTCGTCCTCACCAGTCCTCCCTGGACACACCAGTTCTGTCAGTCCTCCACCAGCGGGTGGGCTAAGGGGTTGAGGGAGGAGGGCAGTGTGGACAGCATGGGCCTCCCTTGGGTAGGGTAGGGTAAGACAACATGGGTTCTTCCTCAGTCAGGATGTTGGTGGAGAGAGAGGCAGAAGAGGCCTCGCCATCCCCAGCAGGAACACCGAATAATGGGCAAGTAGGTGCCAGTGGAGAGGACAGGCCTGGGAGGGCAGTGGAACCTGGGAGGGTAGAGGGCTGGCTCCTCCCTCAGGGAGGCACAGCAACACCCTCTGCAGCGCCCCCAGGGCTGATCGATACCAGGATTGACGGGCACGATCACCTCATTACATGCTCTGCAGGGGAACCACGAGCCTGTGTCAGCATCTGCTGCCGCTCTCCCTGCTGTGGCTCTCAGCCTCTCTCCTTCCCTCTGCCAGGCTCCCTCCGAGCCCGGCTCCCACCCCTACCCTGTCTGCCCTGGTCTGTCATCTGTTTCTGGGTCTTGGCCCCTGTCTTTGGCTCCCTCTCCGTATCTCTCTGTCTCTGTCCCATGTCTCTGGGACTCCCTCTGCTTCTGTCTCCGCCCCCCCCCCCTTACAACTCCGTCCCTCTAGTCTCTGTCTTCCTATCTTATATTCGCCTCTCTCCCCGGGCTTCCTCTCTTCCTCCGTGCCCCCGTCTCTCCGTCTCGGTCTCCCCTTTCTCAGTGTCTCTTCCGCTGCGTTTCCATCTAGACCCCTGTCTCTCTGCGTGTCTCTGTCTCCCCGCTGTGTCTCTGTCTCTCGGCTCCCACGTCCTCCTCACTTCCCTGCCTGCCCCCCACCACCCCCCAACCAGCCTGCTCAGGCTCCGGGGCCCAGATGGCGGGATGTTCACGCCGCAGTGAACACAGGGCCATGGCTGCTTCTGGGACTTGTCGCCACCCCCGGTCCCTAGGCCTGCCCGGCAGGCAGTCATCTGGCCAGCCTGCCGGGGACTCCCACTCACCCCTGTGGGGCTCACAGCAACCAGGTCCTGGCACAGACCCCTCCCTGCAGCAGACACTGTGCCACCACCACGGGGGGGACTCCCTGCCAGCGAGAGCTTGGGGGGGCACCCCTGCTTTCCTCAGGAACTTGGGCAAGGCGATACCGAGACACCCCTGACCGATCGCCGCTCCTCTCTCCCCAAGGGGCTGTCCTTCTTGACGTCTGACCCAAAGCCCTCTTGCTGCGCCTTCCTCTGCCCTCCGTCTCCGTGACTCAGCTTCTTTCGAGTGCAAAGCCTCCACCAGCAGCACCCGGCGGGGCAGAGACTGCCGGGCACGCTGCCCCCCCCCCGCCCCCCGCCCCGGGAAAGCACGGAGGAGGAGGTGACCCCTTGAGGGGAAAGGGGGGGGGGAGGCTCAGGCGCCAGGAACTGGGGTAAAGGGAGGTCGGGAGCTGCCACCCCCTGGGGCCCAGCAGCAGAAGGTGCTGCCCCCACCAGCCTGGAATAGCGGCGCAGCTCTCCTCAGGAGGCTGGCGGAGCGGGCCAGTGCCCAGACGCTACAACACCCACCGCGGTGGGTGCCACACTCCCCTCCTGCTGGCACTGCAGCCGGTGTCCTTCCTGCCCCCTCTGCCTCTCTCCTCCGCAGGGAAGGGAGCCAGCAGAGCCGGCTGGGGAGGGGGCACTGAGGCAAGCGGAAGGGATGCCAAGGTGTCTGATGGTGATGGGGGGGGGTTGGTGGTTGGGCACACCTGGCTGCACAGGGTGGCTGGGGTAAGAGCTGAGTGCTCACAACACTCAGAGGTCAGTGGGGTGATGGAGGTGGCTTCCAACCTCCTGAAAAGTGAGCACCTCATGGTTTCCCAGCCCAGCTTGGACCTATGCTCCCCAGCCACAGCCGAGACCCCTCCTTACTCCCTCCCCTGGGGACGCAGGCAAGCCAGACCCAGATCCTGGCTCAGAGTTGTTCTACCCCTTCCCACGTATGCCCTGTCCACACCTCTGGCCCCTACATGCCCCTACCCACAAGGAGTGGGGCTGGGCAAGCGCCTGGCCTTGGTGCCACACCAGGGACAGCCAGGTCCTGGTGACCCAGTTCCCGCCCTGAGCCCCGGAAGGCAAGAAACATCCAGGAGAGAAGGGCGCGGCAGGGCCTGTGGACGGAGCACCTGCTGGCTGTCTCCTCCTCTTAGAAGAACCGGCCAAGGGGGGACCTGGAAGGCCACCTGCGGGGAAGGATGGCTTTCTGGAAGGAACCGCGCAGGGGAGGCAGCCAGACCTGGTTGTGAGGCCCCCTGGTGCCTACTCCCACCCCCAGGAAGCATGAGAGGTGGGGGGCCGGGGTCCCTGGGCCACCCCTTCTGTCCTTGCACAGCTCTGCGCGCGAGGGCAGCCTCCTCCCCTCAGCCCAGATTCCTCTGCAGGCAGCCACCGCCCCACAGGACCAGCCTGCTCCCTCTTCCACACGACGGCCCTTCAGACATCTGAGCCAGCGCGCCTGCCCCGCTGAGCCTCCTTTTCTCCCGACCTCAACATCCCGGTTCTTGGAATGATTCCTCAAACGCCACGGCTTCAAGTCCCCTCCCCACGCCGGGTCCTCTCAGCCACACAGCTCCCCGCCTCCCCACTTCACCATCACACACCAGCACGGCTCCCGGAGCAGAGGCCAGGCCCCGGCGGCCTCGGCTCCATCCAGGGCGGCCGCCAGCCCTCCACCCCTCCCCCCTCCCCACACAGCTTCCTTTCTGCTTCTAGTCCATGTGATCCTAATTGTGAGTCCGGTGAAGGCTAGAGGGATCCCCCAACAGCTCCCCTCCCCCCGTCTCTTCTCCAAAGACCCAAATCTCCTCCAGTGCCTTGTGGCTCCAAAGAGGCCTCCTTGCCCACAGCTGATGCTCGTCACACACTCACATCCTTCAGAGCCTGACTCCTCTGGGAAGCCGTCCCAGGGAGAACACGCCCGGCTCAGACCCTGCCCCTGTCCCCGCATCTCCCAGACTCAGACACGGCGTGACATTCATGGGTTTGCACCCTCCAACGCGTCCCCACGCGCTGCTGCGTCTCCCCCGTCCCTCCTGCCACGAGGCTAGCAGCACGGAGCGGCGGCTGAGCATGGCAGGTGGGAGGGGAGGAAGGCAGAGGGTCCCCAGCCCCAGGGGCCATCGGGCCCTCGCCCTACCTGCTCGTGGTACTCGATGCCCATGCTGAGTGTGTTGACCAGGATGGCAATCATGATGCCCCGACCAAAGTACTTGCTGTCCACGATCTTCCGGAAGGTGTCACAGATGAGCCTCCAGAAGGCCAGCACGGAGCCGGGCTCCACGTCCAGCCCCAGGCTTCGGCGCCGCCGGCCCGCGGGGTCCCGGAGTTCGCCGTGCGGGGCGTCCTGTGTGAACTCATACACCGCCTCGCTGTCCGAGTCGGGCATCTCGTGGCCGGCGAGCTCCGCCTCCCCGGCCCCCGCCCGGGCACAGTAGGGGCAGCTGTCGGGGCCGCAGGCTCCACGGTCTGCCTTCAAGCAGGGGCTGGAGATCCTGCAAGAGCTTTGGCAGGTGCCTGAAACAGAAAGGGAGAGGTTAGAGGCTCCAGGGTTTCTTAGTTGGGGTGGCCCTTCCCCCCAGAGGGTGGATAAAATGAGCGGGGAGCACGGGTTTGTTATAATGATGGGGTGCTGGGCATTCAGGGGGCCAGGGGTGCTGAATGCCCTACAGTGTGAGCACTTCTGAGCAACAGAATGCTCCCGAGTGCCAATAGCATCCTTCTGTCAGTCTCTGCAGGGTGCCCCAGGGTCAGGCAGGGGGCCTTGTTGTCCTCTGAGGTCCTGGGAAGCTCTTATGTGAGGGCCTAGGAGCATTCAGCACGGAGCTCAGGTCATCTCTACATCCCAGGGACGCCAGCCCCATCCCAACACTGCTCTGAGCAGTATGTTCCAAAGGATCTTAGATCACACACCCTCATGTGTGTGCTCATGTACACACCAGACACATGCACATGTGCACGATAGACACTCCATGTGCATAAACACATGTACTGTGTACACACATGCTATTTGCATACCACACGTGCACAGCCAAACACGTGTGCATACCGACACACACAAATCACACAATGCACATGTAACAGGCACGTGCACACATGAGCATGCATACACACCAGACAGGAGCATTACTCCTGTGTGTGCACACATGCACCTACACAGTCAGATACGTATGCACACATACACACATGAACACCAGACACATGCACGCATACACACACACACACACACACACACACACACACACACCAGACTGCACATGCGTGCACACACACAGTGACCTTTCCTAAGACATAAATGTCAGTTTGAACCCAGTTTTGACCATCACAGATGGGAGCTGAAAGGAGCCTGAGGAACCACCCAGGGAAATCAGGCACGCAGGCACCAGGCTAAGAGCCCTGCCCCTAGTAGGCAGCCAACACTGTTCCCCTTCCTCCAGCTCCCAGGAAGGTGTCCCTCAGCATCCACCGGCTGTGCTGGCCCCGCCCTGCCTCCATAGAGCAGGGAGCTGAAATGTGCAACTGCTCGCGTCACGTGGCGGGTAGTGGAAGCGTTGGCACCAGAGCCCTTCGCACTGCGTTCTGTGATCACACCTTCCCATCCCAGCCCACATTCCCACAAATACACCGCTTCTCCCACGTGCCACGTCCTTCCTGAAATACAGGCCCTGGCCGTGCTGCCAGGGAATCTGTCTGTGAGAGGGCCCGCCGCCGCCCCTGCCTGACAGGGGGACAGCCACAGGCAGCGAGCATCGCACTCCTCCTAACAGGGGGTGCTCCTCTCATCAGCCTCCGAGGCTTGCTGCTCCGGCCCCCTGCCTCGCCGTGGGGAGGGAATAAAACTCATGCCCAGGAGAACATGGCACCAGCCACAGTCACACACCATTTCTCCTCCATGCCCAGCAACGAGGGGGCCTCAGCGTCAGAGGGTCCTAAGTCCACCCCTCCCTAACGGCACAACCTTGGGCCAGGACCTGCCACCTCTGCGAGCCTCCTTTTTCTCATCAGTAAAATGGGGTCAAAAAGCAAGCTTATGGTTCAAACTGGAGGAGCCGCCCTAGCCAGTTTGGCTAGTTGGATAGAGCGTCGGCCTGCGAACTGAGGGGTACCAGATTCGATTCCGGCCAAGGGCAAATGCCTGGGTTGCGGGCTCACTCCCCAATAGAGGGTGTGCAAGAGGCAGCCGATCAGTGATTCTCTCTCATCATTGATGTTTCTAACTCTCTATCCCTCTCCCTTCCTCTCTTAAAATCAATAAAAATATATTAAAACATAAAATAAAACAAACGGGAGGAGCCAACAGGATTTTTGCCTGCAATGCATGGGACAGGCACATAGCAATTGGCCAACAACCGTAAGTGTTATAGCAAACAGCGCAGAGCACATAGCAATCAGGTGCTTATAACATAACTAACTGTTATTGTGATTATTACAACGTGGGAGCTACATATAATTCCCAATTTAACAGGTGAGAAACGTAGGGCTCAAAGAAGTCACGTGACTGGTGGAAGGTCCCAAGGCTGTGAATGGCCGAATGGGGATCCGAGCCCAGTTCTTCTGACTCCAGACCCCCAAACCCCTCAGAGCCACCACCTGGCCCCGGGGCCCCTCACCTCCCTGTCTACTTCCTGCCCCCTCACCCAAGCCCAGAGAGAGCAGCAGGGTGGAAAGAACCGGCTTCCACATGCCCCCTCCCGCGTTCTCACCTGTGCTCTGCGTTTCTAGCAGCTTGTGCATGGAGCTGTAGCGCTCGGGTGGGATGTTGAGGCTGGTGAGGGTGGGGGGTCCGGAAGCGGGGGCCACCTCCACAAGCGCCCTCTCCTTCAGCATCTCCGGCGGGGGGCTGGCGTGCACAGTGGGGTACACCTTCCCGCTGCTCACAGTCCTGCCCGACGCCTCGGAGGGCGACCTGGGCGCGGGCGCCTGGCAGCGGACCGGCTCCAGGTGGCAGTCGGCGTGGTAGAAGCTGTGCACGGCCTCTGCGCCCCGTGGGGGGCCCCCGGACAGGGCAGGCGTCGAGGGCGGTGGCAGCATGAGCCGGCGGGACCCGTTGGCGTCCCGATCCTGGATCTCGGGGCTGGCCCGGGGGCCCCGCAGCGTCCCGTTCCCCAGGTGGTAGTGGTGGTGGTGGTGGTGGTGGTGGTGCACCAGGTGGTGGACGGACGGGCGGCGGCGATGGGAGCGGGAGCAGCTGGGCTGGGGCTCCTGGACCCCGAGGGGCGCCGGGCTGAGCAGCCCGGCCCGCACGCCCGCCGCCCGGGAGACCTGGGCCAGCCTGCGGGCTGCCTTCCGGAGGATGTACACCAGGTACTTGAGCAGCTCCTCGTAGCAGCTGCCGGGCTCGGAGAAGCTGGCCAGGGTGCTGGCGTTGGACAGGAACCGCACACGCTGCTCCCGCATCAGCTGGCTCTCCCGCTGCTTGGTCTCGGAGAACTGCGTGGCAATCACCACCAGGCACAGGTTGATCATGAAGAAGGAGCCCACCTGTTGGGGTGGGGACAGCAAGAGGAGATGTCCTGAAGAGGAGGGAATCACAATGCCGGCCACCGAGTTCGGAGCGCTTCCTGCGGCCGGGAACTGGGCCTAGCCACTGTCCAAGCGCTAGCTCCTTGTATCCTCTCGACAGTCTCAAGAGGTGATACGTCTGTTATCTTCATTGGACGGCGAGGAAACTGAGGCTCAGAGGGTCTGAGGAATCTGCCCAAGATCCTTCAGCTCGTGCAGGGCGCAGCTAAGGACGGAACCAGGCTTGCCGGGATGCTAAGGCATGGCTGTGGGTCCCGGAGCTGCCCTGCAAGATGTCTCCCGAACTCCTGGCCCCTAAACATGTCTGTGCAGATGCTGGACACCCCTCCCCAGTTTCCTTCAGGAGTAGAGAAGGCTGGGGAAATAGAGCCAGTCTTGGGGACACGGGGTTTTCACCCAGGATTGAGCCTTTGAGATGTTGGCAAAAACCTTGTTCACAAGACGCCTGCTTCCAAGTCCCAATGCTAACTGTATGGCCTTGAGTGAGAGAGTCTTAACCTTGGGGCCTCAGCGTGCTTATGACCACTGGCTTTGCCTGTATCCCTTCTCCCCGTGCTTACCCCCTCGCTCAGACAGGTGATGGGCTGAGCCCTGAACCCTGCGGACTAGCCAAGCCGCCCCTCTGACTTGCCCACACTTCCCTGTCCTCATCCCCATGCCTCAGTTTCCCCGGAGTTCTGGGACGGCCATTGCTCGGACAATAATCCAGAAGGAAGGAAATGAATATTTATGGTGACAGAGCCGTTTTGTTTTTCTGAATTGTGTCCTGGTAATTATGATAATTAGCTTCACTAGTGTGAGTCCGGAGAGCTGTTTGGAAAGATTTCTCAGGGGGTGTGTGGGAGGGTGGAAACGGGGCCCCTCACCTCCCTGTCTGCTTCCTTCCCCCTCACCCAAGCCCAGAGAGAACAGCAGGGTGGGAAGAACAGGCTTCCACAAGGCGCGGATGGGGGATGCAACCCCAGGTCCTGATGCCCCCCCCCCACCTGCCTGGCCACTTTCGCACCAGGGATTAATGCAGGGGCCGGAAGGGGCGGCCTGGAGGACTCGTCCTTTTGGGGCCTAGCCATCGCCTCTCACTGCCGTAGTCTGTCTCCACCTCTCTCTGAAGCTTGCCCTAAATCCTGTGTAGATTTTAATCTCTTTCTCTCACATCTGTCCCTCTGTCGGCTCTTGGTGACCTGGGAAAAGGAATGGACTGGGACTCAGCAGCCTGGGGTTGATTTCTCGGCTCCAGCCACTCAGCCTGGTGACCAAGCCCTCTGAAGCTCAGAGTTGTCATGCAGGCACTGGGGCCCCATTCTCTGAACCCCCTTCCCCAGGGACCAGGAAGACTCAGCAGGCAGCGGCTGTTTCAGTACACAACAGCATCCACGCCCCTCCCAGCGAGATTCACCCACGGCTCATACCAGGTCCACGCTGAGGTCAGACCAAGGAGGACACACTGTTAAGTGGGAATGATAACAGGGTGCTGGTGAGAATGAAATGCACCAGCCCATCACACGTGCTTAGAGCAGAGCCTGGAGCACAGCACCCAGTGCACCGGTCCATAATGCGGATTTTGTGCAGGGCGTACCGGTTAAGAATGCAAAACCTGCATTATGAACCAGTACACCTTGTAAGTGCTCAGTAAATATTAGCTGTGAGGAGTAGCAATTACATTGTTTAACGATGAGTGGTAGTGACTTAAATTTTAAACACTGCTACGTTTGCCTCTGTCCTCATTAAGACTTGGTACTTCTGAGCTGGAAGGAACAGGAGATCATGCAGTGTTTCTTAATAGCAAGCGATGGGAATTTGGGGTAAAACAAACCATTTTGCAGAATGTTTACCACCTCCTGTCCGTTCCCCAAAACCAAGTGCCAGTAAGTGCTCTGCCAACCAGGACCACCCTTTGCCACTTCCGGGGGCGGTACCACCCTGGGCGGAGAACTGCCCATTTTACACACACAGGGGTCCGGGGCGGGGCTGGGGGCCTGGTGGAAATGACTCGCCCTAAGTTGCGAGTGGTGGTAGGTGACAGAGTCCAGCCTTGACCTTGCATTTCCTCCCGAGTGCTCCTGACCGGTGCCCTCTCTGTCTGCGTCTCCGCGGGATCTGTCCTGAGAGCTAGAACTTGAGACCGAGCGAGCAAGCTTTCCCTCTCTCTGGACTCCCCCGACCCGTTTCCCTAGGATCTCCCGTCCCCTCGGGGGCCTGAGGAATCACTCACGATGATGAGGAGGATGAAGTAGATGAAGTTGTAGAAGGAATGAGCATCCATCACAAAGTACATGATGTCGACCCAGCCCTCCAGCGTGATGACCTGGGGGGGTGGCAGAGGGGCAGGCTGACTCCAGGCCCCCGAAAGCCCCCTGCAGTCTCCCCTCCAGAGGCCCTGACCCCACCCCCACGCGGAGCAGGACCGTCCCCTCGCAGGCCACCCCACCTGGAAGATGGCGATCCAGGCGTAGCCGATGTTGTCGAAGTTGATGGCGCCCTTGAAGGGGTTGTGCTCCCCGGCGGAGCAGTTGGTGTAGTACTGGTTCCAGTTGACGCAGGTGGTGTTGCTGGAGCTGTTGTAGGCCTCGTAGTCCAGGCCGCAGGGGGGGCCGCCGCCGCCCTCGCCGCGCAGGGTGGGCACGCTGCGGCAGGAGCGCATGCCGTTCTCCCGGGGCTGCGAGCAGATGAAGGGGTTCTCGTCCTCGTTCTCCGTCTGGTAGTAGGGCTCCAGGTCCACGCTCAGGGGGCTGAGGAGGGGAACGGGGTGAGGCTGGGGGCGGGTTCCCCGGGGGGAAGGCCCCAGAAGGGAGAACTGCACGTGTGCACCGAGGCAGACAGGATGAGCGGGGCAAGGATCAGAGCCGGGGCAAGCTCCGGGCCGGCATGGGGATCGGCGTGGGGATCGGCATGGGAATCAGTGTGGGGATCGGTGTGGGGATCGGTGTGGGGATCGACATGGGGATCGGTGAGTGTGGACAGGGAGTGTGAGGACTGAGCCGGAAACTCCAGGGTCGGGGTCTTGGGAGGTTTGTCCCACGAGGCTGCCTCTCAGGCTCACCGAGGAGCTTATAAAACTCCCGAAGCCCAGGCTGACCCCCAAACAATAAAATCAGGATCTGTGGGGGTGGGACCCAGGCCTCAAGAAATTCTTAAAAGCTCCCCGCGTGACTCTAATGTGGGAGTCTGAGAACCAGACGTGTCTCGGGTATGAGAGCAGGTATGTCAACAGCAACGGGGACAGAGGGCGGCCCCAGCCCCCACCCCGCTCCCAGGTCACCCCCCTGCCCCCGGGACACTCACAGGCTGAAGTTCTCGGGCAGGAAGCAGCGGTTGCGGAGCAGCCCCGCCCACAGCTGGACGCCCACAATGCCGAAGATGAAGAAGACGAAGAAGCAGAGCAGCAGGACGTTGCCCAGCATGGGCAGTGTGTCCAGCAGCAGCGTGACCAGGATGCGCATGCCTGCGGGGGGCAGAAGCCACGCTGGGGGCGCCAGGCTGGCTGCCGCGGGCCTGGCAGCACTCCCAGAGGGGGCCACCGGGGCCTCTGAGGCTGACACCAACCAACCGACCGACCGACTGACAGACAGACACCCCAAACTCCACGGGCAGCCCTTTGCACCTGCTAACTCTACCAGCAACCCCTCGTGCCCTGCCCCCCCATTCATCAGAGTGTGAGACCCCAAGGGGGAGCCAGAGTAACCCCCTTCCCAAAGCACCGCCTGCACCGCACCCCACCGAGCATCGTCACGGCGTGACTATCAGGCCCAGTTTACAGAGGAGGGTCGAGTTCCAGAAAACTGGCATGACTGGTCATTGGAGGTGCCGAGACTTCAACAGGCTCGGCTTCCAAATCCCATTACACACACACACACACACACACACACGCACACACATACACATATACACATATGCTCCCCTCCTAGTCTTGCTCTCACCACAGCCAGTTGCCACCAGTCACTGGGGAAACTAGGCAGAGAACTCCAGGAGGGAAGTTAGCAGGCAGGACTCTCACTTGGAGATCCAGGCCCTCGGTCGGGGCTGAATCGTCCTGTGCTCCCCTGCGGTCCCCAGCCCCCTGCCCCCCGTCTACTCTCTGTGTGGTCCAGATCGCCACCCCAGGATCTGACAGGCACACAAGGCCATCTTCTCAGGCGCCATCCATCAGCAACATCCTCCCAGGGAGGAGCCACCACCACCCCGCACTCCCTCACCGCGGCAGGTCTAGGACCGATCTGCCCACAAGGTCTGGACCAGCCTCCCGCCTCCACGCCCCTGTCAGACTCACAGACCTTTCACGGCTGGTCTTGTCTCCCAAAGTGCTGCTGCCAGCCCCTGCTCCCTCCAGGGGAGAAGCTTCGAAGCGGCAGCTAATGAACAGGCTTGGGGACTGCAGCCGCCCTGTCCCTGCCCCTAGCAGCCCCGAGCTCTCACTTCGTGCCTCTCCCTCTCCTCAGCCCCACCCCCCTTCAGCTCCCCGGTGCTCCAGCTGAGATCAATTCCTCGGGGTTTGCATTAAGGGAATTGCACCGCTGGTTAGACAGCAGCCTGCAAATCTGCCAGCCATCACCTGGGCGGGAGAGGCGGCAAAGGCAGCCTCGCCCGGAGCTCCTGTTAACCAGCACAGCACAGCACCTGGAGGACACACTGAGCATCACACACACAGGATGCATGTACACACATGCACACACACACGCACGCACACGCATGCACACGCACAGCAAAGGGGGCTGCCGCCACATGACTCCCAGAAACCGGCTCCCCCAACCCACCCCACTCCAGGGGTTTCAGCAGAGACCACCTGCAGCTGGTGTGGGTTAGGGAGTGGTGAAGGGGGGCCTGAGCAAGGGTAGGGGGCAGGCTGGATGGGGAGCGAGCACTGCCAAAGCTCCGTTGGCTCGGGGAACCGATGCGGTTTAATTTAGATGGTGGTCCCGGCGGTCAGTTGCTATGACGAGTTGGAAGGGGTGAGAGTGAAGAGGGGGATACAGGTGGGAGGGTGAGGCACGGAGTGGCCTTGTCGTGAGAGAGGTCAGGCTCAGCGTGACCACTGAGATCCCCCACTGCATGAGAGACTTCTGGCTGGAAAAGGCCGAGGCGCCTTGCACTCACTCCCGGCCTGCCATCCTCTCTACCTCGTTCTCACTGCCCCTATCCCAGTGAGAGACACCTCTGAGACTCTGACCCAGAATCAGGCTAAAATGAGGGGGGAGGGTCTTTCCACAGCCAGGGGGAGGGGCTCCTTTTAGCTTCAGTGACTTCAGCTCCCCATAAGCCCTTCCTCGGTATGGCCTGTGAGTGGTCAGGAGGGAGGGGTGAGGTCTGAGATGTCCCTATGTCCTCTTGGGCTCTCTGTCCAGGGGCTGAGGGCCGAGGGGTCACTCACTGGGCACCCGGTTAATGGCCCTGAGCGGTCGCAGCACACGGACTGTCCTGACAGCTGAGAAGCTGACGTTCTGCAGGTCCAGCGAATACTCCAGCATCCTGCAGGGAGGGGCCCAAAGGGAGGCCCTTTGAGTCTGAGGCCGCCACGGGGGTCAAAAGAGGCCAATGAGGAATCCTGCTGCACAGGTGCAGCGCGAACTCTGACCCCTCCCCTCCCACCCAGGGACCCTGCAGAGGCCACGGACGCAGAGTACAGGTTGGACAGCCTCGGACCCTTAGTGAACGGGGGTGGGGCGGTAGGAGGCGGGGGGGGGGGAGAGGATCAAAAAGGTGGGGGGAGCAGCACTGTAGGTGGGCTGGGGTGGGGGCCAGGCCTAGGCCTCTGGCTGGAGGGATGACACTGATCTAATCCATCTCATGCCCACACCCAGCCCAGGCTCTCACCCTGCAATAACGATGAAAAAGTCCAACCGGTTCCAAGTGTCTCCCAGGTAACACTTCTTCCCAAAGATGCCCAAGGCCACCATCTTCACCACCATCTCCACGGCGAAGAAGGCAAAGATGAAGTCATCGAAGGCCTGGTGTGGGGACGAGAGGAGGCTGAAACTGAGAAGGGGGTGGGGGAAGATGCCCCGCCTCCACCCCATCAGCGGGGTCAGGGCCTCTTGCAGGGAAGGGGTCAGGGTTATGAGGAGCCCCCCTCCCCACACACACACACACACACACTCACCTGCAGGATCCGGCAGCGCTGGGAGTCACAGGCCATGTCCTCACACGGCCGGAACATGCCCAGAGTCACACAGTTGAGAAGGATGACCAACATGCTGATACGCTCAAACCAGGTAAGCAGGTGGTCAAGGAAACAGCAGGCCAGGGCTGGAACGGAGCCCACGCCTCCAACCCCCACCCCAGTGCCTCCTGCTTCTTGACTCCCAACCCCATCTGACAGGTGCAACGGGAAGGCCCTGGCCCCGTCCCACCTTGGGCACCGCACCCCTCTGGGCCCAGCCTTCCCCCTCTGCAAAGTCAGAAAAGCCATAAATACCCTGACTATTTGCACAAGGCATTTGGGGAATAAAATCGATCACACTTATGGAAATGCCAGGCACCAAGAGTTTGCTGCTGAATCTGAATCCTAGGCTCCCTACCTCCCAGGGAAGATGTGAGAAGCAAATGAGATAATGTATGCGAATGTGTAACACAAACCTAAAGTCAGATCCCGTCTGCCTTACAGTTTACCAAGCGCTCTCACACGGTGCCACACGTGGCGCTCACAGCTCGCCGGGAAGAGCCTGGGGTAGATCGTTTTCTTCCCCAGAACCCAAGGAAACTGAGGCTCGGAGAGCCAACGTCCTGTGCTCAAGGTCACAAGAAAAGCCAGCACGAGACAGGTTCAAGCATGCAGGGCGAGGGCCGTCATGGCCTCACTGGCACCAGACAGGCAGGCAGAGGCAGCCAGGAGGGTCCACAGCTTCGCCACAGCACCAGAGCCCACGGCTGCCTCTTCCACCACCAGCCCCCCGGCCTCTCAAAAACCTCAGATGGCCCCTAGACACAGCCACATGTTAAATCATGAGCCCCCACCACACACCATGCCCTGAGCTGGACACAAGCCCCAGCCTGTGCAGAGTGGACAGTAAGTACCCTGCACACATAGACCAGTCCACCATCACACCTTCTGTGGCTTCCAGCAAAGCCCTAGCCCGGACCAGCTAAAACCAACCCTGTTTTGCAGAAATGGGGAGAGGAGTCTTTCTAAAACCCGATTCTTTCCACATCCTGTATTTCATTAAGGGACTCACCTCCAGCCCATCAGCAAGAGACGCATGAAGTGGTCTCTGGATCTTAGAAGGTTCTGGACACCAGAAGGTTCTGGATAAGCAGCCTATTTTCCCCCAAGGAAAATATGAAAGGAGTGGGCAAGCGCAAAGAGGCTGGAAACAAGCAGAGGTTGGGGTCCAAGGGATGAAGGCAGGAAGGGTCTGCTCCCAGCATGACACGCAAGCTAGAAGCAATGGGGTAGAGAGGGCTCAGAAGAGACAGGACCTTCCTGTTGTCACTCCGCTTCTAGAGTGAGAAGCCTTTGACAAAGACCCAATGACTCTGTTCCCAGCTGACCCTGGCCACCCCCATCTCTGTGCTGAGCCTGACCATGCCCCCTCGCCAGGAGCCCATGACTCCCTCATCCCTCCATAGCTCTCCCCCCTCCTGTCAGCCAGACCCTCTTCTCATCACTTCCCTCCATCAGATACCCAACTGTCCCCTGACACTGCCATTTCCCTACCTGCCACCTCCTCACAAGAATAAAAGTTAGAAAGGAAAAAAAAAAAAAAGTTCTAGGTTTCTGGGGTAAGTAGATGGAAGTGGGAAATAAAAAGTGTTGTTTCCATGGAGCTGTTTTCCTGAGTGGAGTTGGAGCTGGAGCCCAATGTGTCTCTCTCCAGGATAGGGGTCAGCCAGGGGTCACCCTGGAAAAAGGGGGACAGGGAGGGAGCTCCCCTGGGGCTATCATCCGGAAAAGGAAAGACACGATTACTCTCAAGACTTGGTCTGCTTCCTCCAAGCTAGCCCCCCTCTCCTCCCCTCTGCAGGGAAGGGACCACGTGAGCAGACACCCCTGCAGGGGGGAAGGCAGGTAGTTCTGGGAAGAATGGCTCCTGGGACACCTGTGAACCCCTCTAATGGCGATGGCACCACCCTGTCATTCTCTTCATCTACCTCGCCTTGGCAAGGCAGGGGCGCTCCGATACAGCTTTATATCCCCCACAAAGCTTAGCATAGTGCCTGTCATATAGCAGATGATCAATACGGGGAAGGAAGAAATGAATGAATCAATGAATGATTGAGTGAATCAACTGGTCAATCTCCCTGCCTAGAAGCTAGATGCATTTCCCCATTCATGTTTTCCTGCCTTCCTTGCCTTGATAACCAAGGCGGTAGGTGGGGTGGAGAGGGCAGAGGTACCATCGGGAGCCGTCCCTCCTGTTCCTGCTTTATGCGTGCTCACACCGGAGCCTCTTATAGCAAATACTGCCTCCAAATACCCCCATCTCCAGCTCTTAACCACAGAAGCCCC